AAAAAGAGTTGCAGACTTAGCTCTCCGCAATTAAGTTTTGCCAAAGTCATTGGTACATGATTTGTTGAAATTGATCCATACTTCCGTTTCGACTTAAGACATCCTTGAAATTTATTATTTTTTTTTTTTAAATATACGAAGACTAAACGAATAATTGATATCACGTTGCTAGTTTACGAGCTTGTTGCCAACCGTGGAAAAATACGCATTAAAAACAGCAAGATACAATATCAATTCCAACTATCCAGAGTACGAGCTTCCCCACTCCTGAACGGACGACACTCGATAACGACATGTGACGTCATTGCATTCAACTCCACACGAAAGAAGAGGAAGATTTCACCCGCCCCCAGTGTAAGGGGGCGGGTGAAATAGGAGTGTTTTTAGAGGTAACGTTGAAGAGGGGGGAAAATAAAGCATGTTCAGCTACGCTTCAGGCAGATGGTAGTTTGATAAGAGGGGATGGAATTCAAGCTGAAAGAAAAACTTACCTTCGCACTCGCGGAAAAATTAGGTAATTTTGAGTTTGGCCGTCGATCGCAGTAAAATTCGGGAGTTTTTCAAATCAATTCCGGAGGGCGGGAGAATAACTCAAAATTCGGGAGACTCCCGCAAAATGCGGGAGAGTTGGCACGTGTGCTAATGTGTTTAATAAACTAATGTGAATAAATTATAATCCCTCTTTAAACTTGTAATTCCATATTTTAAGTCATATCTTTTCAGTAAACAAGTTATTTTTTCAAATTCAATGCTATTTGTAGAAACTCTTTTTTCTAAGTTAAAAATGTCTAATTTTCAAATAAGTCACAAGAAAATCTTATTTAACAAAACTATAGAAATAGCTCTCTAGTTACAATTTTTAGTCGCAATTATATTGTTTTTTTTTAGAAGTTATATTGCACAAATTATTTATCTAAAGTTATAAATCATAAATCCAGGGGCATAGCTATCTAAGGCCAAAAGGGCAGTGCCTATGAACACCCAAAATACTTTTTAGTCAAAAAGATTCTTCATTACAACATAAAATGATTTACAGGGATTGAGAGGGCCATCCTTTGTGTGTTTACCACAAGGCCCCTGAGAATTAAGTTACTCTACTGTCTAAAACATTCAAAGTAAGATTATTATTAAAAATGTATTGAATTAAACAGAAGGAAAAAAATAAAAACATACTTTTTCAAGAAGTTTTATTATGATACAAATAATTACAACAAAGAATGTTATAAACAAAGGATATTAAATTATAATATGATGTTACAAATGTCTGCCTGACCACAAAAGGTGCTGTATTAACTCATATATTCTGATTATGTAATCACTTGTACAGCAGGCAACAGATCTGAATTGAAGGCTTATTGGGAAGCCCAACCAATATCGTATCATCATATTGCTTATCAAATATGTATCATCATATTGCTTATCAAATATGTCTTTTTTATTCAATGCACTCTACTCTGAACCATTCTGCGACATATGGTATCTTATTCAGATGTACGAAATAAGAGATTTTAATAAAATAAGATTTTTTTTTTAAAAATAAAAATGCATTACTATAAATGGGAACAAAAGCCATTTTAATAAATGAAAAAAATAAATGCTAAACTTATTTTTCTAAGATACGTATACTTCATCCAATATACAGGTATCAAAAATGAGACAGGCCATTTTGATTAGTAAAATTTGTTCATATTCTCATATTAAAAAAAATACAACTATTCTGTTGATTAAAGAAAATACGTGACAGGATATTACAATTGGTCAATATACATACGCTATAATATACTTATCAGAATGTATTGATTAAACGTTATGAAAAAAAAACCCTCTCCTTAGATATCATGCATATTAAGATCAAACAATTTTAATTCTCATTAAAATAAATGCCGCTTATAGTATATAATAGTAATAGTTATTATTATTCACTTATTCTTAAACTTTAAATAATAATGTACCAAAAAAATTAAGTGTTGAAACGTATGATTTCAATGAGATAATCTTGCTTTATACTATTGAACAAGAATAATTAAAATCAACAAGATTCATAATTACTCATTAAACTATTTTGCATGTTAAAAAATGTTTTTACTTTTTTTAACAATAATTACTAAATTTTTATTTTACAGTTATTTTAACAGAAGTACAAATAAAAAGGAATTTAAAAACAATTTACAGACATGTGATTACTGGAAGAAATTATCTGAAATTGTTGCAAATTGTTATAGTTATATAGTTTCAATTTCAGGGATGCTACTCGCAAAATATCAAATTGTCTCACCAGAAATTGCATTTCGTCTCAGTTAAAATCTCTTTTTGGCTCAGTTTGTCTCAGCTAAAATTATTTTTTTCACTCAGTTTATCTCAGCTAAAATGATTATTAATCAGTTTGATAACAATATAAAGATAATTTTCAGGATCCATAAAACCATTAATAGCATACTAGGAGTACTACAATTATACATACATTCACTATTGCTAGGATTTTAAAAAACCTGCATATGATTGATTATAAGAGTCCACAAAATTGTTTTATGGACTCTGTTGTTTTCATATATATTGCATTTATCATTTATGCCAATGAATAGTATCTGTTCCAGAATTTTACAAAGTAAATTTTAACTTTCTTATTTTTTAAAATATAATGGTGTTAACTTTCTAAAAAGAAATATCTATTTAGTTTCAGTAATTCAAAAGGGAAAATACCCATTTTATTTTGAGCTCAAATTTCATCTCAAAATATATAACTATTCAGTTACAATGAAAGGTCTACAGATTTCAATAATTAAAAGAGAAATTCAGTAATTAAATAATGAGAGTTTAAGAAAATGCAAATAACACAAAAAAAAACACTCTTTGATAGAATTCAGGAGGTGCAGTGAAATTTTGAAATATTTTAGGTAGGAATTTTTCAAGAAAATTTTAGGGAGCACTTAATAGCCAAAAATTAGCATATATACATTTTTATATCAAAACAGAAATATTTAAAAACTATTATAAACAATTTAAAAAGACACATATAAATATAATTTTCTTTCTAAAATGACTTGCATCCTTTATTAAGTATAAAAGTAAACTTTTTAGTTTATTGGCATTGACTAGTAGATTGTACTTTCTTGCATTCACAAGATTAGTTAGTTGACTATGTTCTTTTAATTTGTATAGCTAAATATACAATCATAAAATGTGATTATGAATGCACTTAGTAATTGTTTAAATGCAACAACTGTAGAAAAATATATCACATCTTTACAGTAACTAATTCAAGAAAAAACTTAATTCTACTTCTTTCTAGAATCGTGAAACTGGATTTTAAAATTGCGTGAATATGAATTGCGATTTTGGGTTTTAAAATCGCGTGAATATGAATCGCGATATTGAATTACAAAATCGTGTGAATATGAATCACGATATTGGATTTTAAAATAGCGTGAATATGAATCGCGATTTTGGATTTTAAAATCGCGTGAATATGAATCGCGATATTGGATTTCAAAATCGCGTGAATATGAATCACGATATTGGATTTTAAAATCGAGTGAACATGAATCGCGATTTTTGATTTTAAAATCAAGTGAATATGAATCACGATATCGGATTTTAAAATCACGTGAATATGAATCGTGCGGTTGGATTTTAAAATCGCGTGAATATGAATCGCGATTTTGGATTATAAAATCATGTGAATATGAATCACGCTGTTGGATTTTAAAAACACGAAAATACAAATCACGATATTGGATTTTAAAATCGCGTGAATATGAATCACGTGAATATGAATCGCGCAGCTGGATTTAAAAAACACAAATCACGATATTGGATTTTAAAATCGCGTCAATATGAATCACTATTTCGGATTTTAAAATCGCGTGAATATGAATCACGATTTTGAATTTTAAAATCACGTGAATAAGAATAGCGCTGTTGGATTTTAAAAACGCGAAAATACAAATAGCGATATTGAATTTTTAAATTGCGTAAATAAGAATCACGATGAATAATTTTTAGATCACGTGAATACGAATCGCAATGAGTAATTTTTAAATAGCGTACAAATACGAAAAACCAGATCTGATATTACAACTGCGTGATAACGAATCGCAATATTGGATTTAAAAATGCGTGAATACGAATCGCGACGTTGGATTTTAAACTCGCGAGAATACAGATCGCGATATTGAATTTTTAAATTGAGTGAATAGGAATTGCTAGTACGATTATTAAACAGCGTAAAAAAAATCGCAACACATAAGTTTTAAATCAGTTAAATACGAAAATCGATGATTGATATTAAAATCGTCTGATTAAAAACCGCGATTTTAGCATATTCCAGCGCAGTTCCTAATATTTAAAATTCCGAAAATCAGCCAAACGAAAAAATAAAATCAAATATCGGTGGTCGAAACGAAACACTTTAGACTCCTTTCCACTCTATAGCGGAAGTCGCGGGAATCCGACTATCGTTCCGGCGACTTGGGTTTCTCTAATTGGACTCCCTAAAAATTTTAGTTTTTGGAACATGGTCAAAAATTTTAAAAATTGGGAGAAAAAAGCGGATTTCCGCTTTTTCGTGGAAGTCTTTCATCCCGTGGAGACGCGAACAGCAAAATGATCTCCAATGACTCACGACAATGCGGATTAATATTTGAAACTGAATTCAGGTTTGCCAAATTTTGGACGTTTTGTCTCAGAATGGCGCAGCTTTGGCAGAAACTGAGCTGAATGTCGCAAAATGGCGCAGTTATGCCGTTTTGTCTCAGTTTGTCGCAAATGGCGCAGGCGTAGCATCCCTGCAATTTCAAAAGAAACAATTTTCTCCATTATGAGCATTTTTAAAATATAAATTTCAAAAAATAAAAAAAAGAACATTTTTATAGCGAGCAATCTTTCAAATGCTTGCGATTTCGGAATTACATGTCACATTATCAATTTTATACTTAACTAATACGTTTTTGCCATGCCAATTCTAGTTAAAACTAATTCATTATTATGGATTTTTTTCTTCGTTTTTTTTCAAATAAGATGTTTATTCTAGTTATGTTTTGCTCTCAAAAATTGCTAAAACAAGGATTATATCAGATATATATATATAAAAAGGAGGATGTTGGTAAAAGAGATAGAAATGTGTTGTTAACAGTATTTTGGGAAATTTAAAATTGAGATTAGTAGAATACCAAAAAACTTTTTTTTGAAACATAAATTTTCGATTCGTGGAAGTCCACAAAATAATAGTCTTGAGATTCACGGAATTACGCGCATTATCAGAAAAATCACATGCCTGAATTTACATCACTTATGTTTACTTTTTACTATATAGTCTTTAATAAATAAAACTTTATGAACAACACATTAGAAATTATGCCGTAAGTCAAGAAGCATATTAATATCCTCACAGAAATAAATACTGTTTTTAACATAGTGACAGTTAGTAATATGGGTATTTTCCTTTACTTATTTCAAATACATTTTTCAAAGTATGATTTCAATTTCAATAGGATAATCGAAAATAATCTTTTTATTGATTACGACTGTTGACAACTAATAATTGAGTATCTAGGACGTTAAAATAAAGTTTTCATTATTCTTTAACAATCATTACAATTACTAGACTTTTATAATTACAATATTTACATTACACTTGATCATTTTAAAATTAATCAGCAACAGTATACAAACAAATAAAAAAAAATTTTAAAATTAATTTTCAAAAGTGTGATTTTAAACAGTTTTAATTATCAGCAACAGTTTGTTAATAATTTAAACTGATAAAATTCTATAAAGATGAAAACCACTCATGAGAAATTATACATGTTATGTCTAAATATATGCTCTTATCCTCTTAAAAAAAATCTGTTTTTAATGGAGATATTGTTATTATTAAGGGATCCTTACTCATTTCAAATTAACAAGTAACAATGTACAAAAATTAATATAATAACAAGGTAGAATGTCAATAAGCTAACCTCAATTTTTTTCTGCCCCATTTAAAATTTACCAGCAACAGCAAAATATTAATTTTGAATTTATTTTCAAAACTAAAATGATTAAAGATTCTGATTTTATTGATCTGAGATCTGCTATTAACTTTGAGAAATTAAACTGATTAAGCTTATGAACAATGCGACAACTATTCTTAGGTATTATGAATAATAAAACTAAAAACTGTAACAAGAGTAATATAATCGTGTATCATACGTTAACACACCAATTATAAATGTTTTCATACGTAAAATAATTACAACTACATATATCACAATGTTAAGTTACAAGACAGAGAAAAGAATACTTATTTCAAAATAAGCATAAAAGCAATATTTTGCTAAAATAAAGTTTTATCACAAATACTGAAAAAAAAAATATTTATAACTTTAATGTCTCAGAACTTCAGAAGACTCAAAATGAAATAATTCCATTATATACATATATGTCACTGTTTAACGGTATCAATACATGGAACATCACATCATTATTCTAAAAATCTCAATGCAAAATCTATATTGGGATAAAAAAAAAAGTAAATTAAAATGTAAAATTTACACAATATCAACATTTTTGTTTATAAAACAAGCTTTAACTTCAGTAGAGTAATATATATA